AAATTATACGAATTTGGGAAATGACAAAAAGAATAGACGACCTACGCTACGGGTGAAATGTGAACGATGGAGCAGAGCATCCGCACTGCCATCAGCAGGGAAACCAGGAGTCCAGAAATTCAGCACTTCACCTGGACCTCAGTGAAACAGCTCCGGTCCTGCACTAAACTCAGGAGCCCTCCAAACTCCTTTTGCTGCTCCCCCAGCGGCCGGGAGGGGGCGCCCGAACTCTCAGTAGCTGACAAACCCGCACCGCCCACCCAGAGGGACCCGGCTCCAGGTACAGCGCTGACCGCTGAGGTGTCAGATCCACAAGCTTTGCGCCGCGTCTCTCAGAGCCTTTGATTTCTGCACCTCCAAATTCTAGATAAGCTACCATTGCGTCCATCCTCCCCTTCCTGGGAGAAGATTTTTGCCAGAGCGGTTCACACCGGTGCCCTTTTATGCTGCGATTGACGGCTGGAAATCACAGCTTGTTGTGGTATGTTTTCAGATTCAGGATTGTTTTGGAGTGAGTTAAAGTCGTTCAGTCGTGTCTGACTCTTAGCGACTCCATGGACTGACTATACACTCCATAGAATTCTCCAGGCCAGAATACTGGAGTGGGTAGCCTTTCCCTTCTCCAGGAGATCTTCCCAACTCAGGGACTGAACCCAGGTCTCCCGCACTGCGGGCAGAACTTTACCAGCTGAGCCACAAGGGAAGCCCTTGTTTATGGGGAAAAGGAGTAATCAGGGAAAGGAGAAAGGTATCTACAATCTGGATAGGAATCTACTAGATATTGGGACCCTCCAGTGGGAAGACTTGGGGACAAAACTGAGACTTAAAAAGGAGCTCCTAGGTAAAGGGAAAATTCTTTCATTTAACATTAATATAAATGGTAATTTCTCCTGTAATGTTAATTGGTTGAAAAATGTTTTAAGATGTATAAGTCTTAAACTCACGTCAAATTCAAATATTTTCCTTTTTTTTTTCATTTATTTTTATTAGTTGGAGGCTAATTACTTTACAATATTGTAGTGGTTTTTGCCATACATTGACATGAATCAGCCATGGATTTACATGTGTTCCCCATCCCGATCCCC